GTGTGTTTCAGATTTTGGAAGAGCTGTCGGAGCTGCCGGTAGTGTTGGAATTGGCGTCGGACTTCCTTCGATCGTGAGACACCGATTTTCCGCGATGACGTCTGCATTTTCGTATCACAAAGCGGTGAAACAGCTGATACCTTGATGGCGCTTAGGTAACATAAGTTCCCTGGTTAGGACTGACCCGAACCGGAATAAACACCAAAGTTCTTCGCTTCAGGTATTGTAAGCCGCGTGGTGCCCTTCTTGATTGGAGTTACAAATACAGTAGGATCGTCGATCTGTCGCGAATCACACTGTGGAATTCATATTAATGCTGGTCCCGAAATCGGTGTTGCATCTACCAAGGTTTCTTTTAGCATAATCAACCTTGGGCGCCATTCGGCTTAGGAGGGGCAATCTGCATTTTCGCCGATCTATTCTGCTAGTTCATGACAGCGAGCAGGTCTCACTTTGGTGAGACCTGTAAACCCTTGTGAAGCTGTAAAATGGTACAAGTGAACCGTTTAATTACAGAGCTTACAGGTTTTCACAAGGTAGCCTGTAAAGAGCTTCACTGTGTACCATTTGGTGCCCCCCAAGCCGAAATGCGCCCGAAGTTCTGGTAGAAACTCTTGCCCTGTTCAGGACTTTTTCGCGAAGTTATCAGAACCAATTTTTCAGGCGTACACTTCACAAATTCTATCACTTCTAATGTTCGCATTAGTTCTATCGGACGACCGTATTTCTATGATTAATAGGAGAAGAGAGATTATAAATGCTATGAATCATTTGCCAGGTCATTACCAAACCGAATTGGAAATTAAAATTCTGAAAAAAACGTCTGCTTTCCAGATTTAATCCGTGAAGTGCTAACTCTAGATCAGGAGGTATTGAAAATTGCGGAGGAGATTTACAAAGAAAAATCACTGTTAATTATGGGACGTGGTTTCAACTTTGCCACATGCCTTGAAGGGGCATTGAAAATTAAGGTACTCATATATTTTCTGCATGTATTGGTCTTTGGTTCAGTAAGAGGGAGGTGTGCCATTTCTTGACTACCTTTAACAAACTTGAAGACACTCTCCGCGATAATCGGATAGGCGGAGCTTCACAACCACTGCACCTTATTCGTGATGGCATCCATAGTCTTTACCGTGACTCAAGGACAGGGCACCAATGACGAAATTCTAGTGATTGTTTTGTCGGACTGCCCATGCATCCGATTATCGCGGAATTTTTCTAAGTCTTAACGAGTATTCTCATTTCTCCTTCACATCCTAGGAGTTATCGTATATGCACTGCGAAGGAATAATGTCGGGTGAACTGAAACATGGTCCATTAGCGATGGTTGACGAGAAATTGCGTATTTGTATGATCATCTGTAAGGACACGGTGTATTCGGTATGTTACGTTCGGTTTGTTTATGTTTATGTCGAATTTCAAAGGGTTTACAGGAGTTGTTTCTAACTTCACTTCTTCTTGGAATCGTCTTCTTCTTTGAATCGTGTACTAAATCTTTTTAGTAACATTTTACTATGACAGTGAACCTACAGAAAGGCTTGAAGGACCAGCTACTTTTTATTGCCCTTTGATATTTCACGATAGTAAGACTTGAGTGAAAGGGTTCCTGTGGAGCCTTCTATGTGACCCACCTCATGAGAAAAAGAGAAAGAGATGTGGCCTGGAACTTTTCCAGATCCTCGTGGCACACCATGTGTGTCAAGCGGTCAAGAAGACATTAATCAGCTATTTCCTGTAAAGATGCGGCGCGGCAAATGTGATGAATCCAATTTTATGATGCACCAATTTCAGAAATCGCTGAATGCCTTGCAACAAGTGGTAGCCAGAGGCGGAGCGCCGATTATTATTGCCGATAAGACTGTGCCAGAAAATGTAAGGCTCTTCTCATTGAAGTTTCATTTTTCTCTGAATAATGGAAATTTTAGGCACTATCGGTCCTTTTCTGTTTGCTTTTCGGAACATGGGCTTGAATTTTCTTAAAATTCGTTCCTGATTACCTTTGACCTAGCACTGGTTCCCAGGAATAGCAGACTCAGCGAGCACTAGGGCAGATCATCCACATGAAAATTATTGTGGAATCGCCTTTGTGATTAAGGGGGGGGGGGAGAGAGAGGTGGGAGGTCATACTTCATAGTTAAATGAATTCTTTCTATTTGTTGATTTTTTCCGTTTCATGGGCGCTATGTATACCTTGCTCTACAGCAAGATTTTGGGATGAAATGGGTATGAAAGAAGCTGGTTTACGATAGGGGGTCGCACCGGATGATTAAATGGGGGAGGGGGGGGGAGGGTCGTATTCTGCGAAGGATGCAGAATTTCCAACAATGCAATGGTTTTCCGTGCTGGGCGCTGATATCGTAGCTATTTCGCGCAAAAACCCTTATTTCAGCTTTCAATCGCCGACGCCGCAGACTTCTTCAGGCACGGCGCGGGGCTAGACGTTTCTACGCCGAGCAGATGGGATACTCCTGTTCTAAGGAGGCGCAAGTACTCCCGAAAAACATGAGGTCCTGCAGCGTGGCTTTGGTCGTTCGACATTCTTCTATCAGACATACTTAATTTCTTAGTGCGCTGATTTGGAGGCAGCTGGGACAATAGCTGGGGCGGGCTGTCGCTGCAATCGTCATTGATGGAAAGGCTGTGAGAGGGCGTTTGGCGATACCCCACTCAACTCTTCCACCAGTTATCACAAGAATGCTGAGTTGTGGGCAAAAGTCGGACCACGGACGGGATTCGAACCCGCATCTTCTGCTGGAAAGCAATGCTCGGTACTGTTACTTTTCGTCCAGACAGGCTATATCTTACCCAAATTGTCCCCTGAGGTACATATTGAAAAGTAGTGGGCACGATAGCTGGGGGCGGGCGGTTGCTGCCTACGTAACTGGTGAAGATTTTAAGCAGAAGCATTTTAAGCAGAAGCAGAAGATTTTAAGCAGCAGAAGATGCGGGTTCAAATCCCGTCCGTGGTCCGACTTTTGCCCACAACTCAGCATTCTTGTGATAACTTTCATCGCGCACTGCGGCGTTATATTAATTTTTTCTTTTTTCAGGATCTGGCTGGTATGAAGCATATATTGAGGGTTCCAAAGACCGTCGATTGTGTACAGAATATTCTCACTGTTATTCCTCTTCAACTAATGTCCTATCACATTGCTGAACTTAATGGATATAACGTAAGTTT